GGGATGGGTTGACTGTGAGGGGGAGAAGAGTCGATCGTGTCGGTTGGGGGCTAAGGCGGGCAGCCAGCTAGGCCCGGGACTGCTCGAGGCGGCCGTGTCAAAATGGCCGATCCGGGGCGAGGAACCGATCGGCAAAGCGTCCGACTCGTCATCCATCTTCATCATCTCATCGTCACATGACCTGATATCTGGCTCGGATTCGGGAAGGTCGGAAAACGGAAGCAACGAAGGCCCAGGCGGACTGGATACCAGCTGAAACATGTCTATACACGAGCTACTCGACAGAGGCGATGATGCGCTCGCTGGGTAAGGATTGGCGAGTGGTGAGCTGACCCTTGGCGAGAATTTCCCTGAGGAGAACGAGCTGGTCTGGTGGTAGGTTTCCGGATTCGATAATGCTCGTCGTATGGCGGGACCATCAGACATCTTGGAAGTGTTGAGGAGTGTGGCAGTGGGGTGATGACATGAGTGGCCCTGGGCAGGCAGCCTGTGTGCTTTCTGAGCGGCTGAGTGGGCGGGCCGCAGCCCAAGCGAGCCCAGTCGTGTTACAGTCATACCGAGCTCAGTCCGGGCGGATGGGGGGGCCACATTCAAGCCTGAGTCCCGGCACCCGGGGTCCGGAATCAGACACAACCTTGGAGCCCCGGGGCTCGGGACAATGACTTGGCAGCAAATTCTCGAACCTGAACCGATGATGATGATGCCAGCTTGTTCGAAGGAAGCAAATATGCCCACAACGGACAGGAAGAGCTAGGGAGAAGAGCCGCGATACGCGCCCAGCAGGGATTATCGTCGACAAGCTCGTATGAAGCCGCGATCATTTGGCAGCGCCGGACTTCCGGCTTGATCGGCGGTCAGTCACGGCCCCGGGAGACAAGCATCGATAGTCTCGGAACGGCTGATCCGCCGTAGATTTACGATGCTCCGAATCTGAACCTGCTCTTTCTCTCTCTGTCTGATATTGAACGGCCTTGTAATATCACACAGAGGCTTGTACAACATTGACTAAGTAGTCGAACAAGTCCGTCCCCCAGACCCATCGGCCCTGATCAAGAATTCAGGTAAAAAAAATATATGTCTAATCATGGCTTGGTTCTGGAAAGATTGGAACTGCTACAGCTGTCAACTTCTGGACCTAAATATGTCCACATCGATCTGGATGGCGATCCTGAATCCTGCCTCCCCTTCCCCCCCAAAAAAATGGAAAGACCGATTGGAGTCATTCGGGTGTTGGACAGAAACAAAAGGAGATTATTGGAGGAGCTGAGGGGGGAGGGGGCAGCGGAATGTGACTGAGCACACTTCGAAATCTTGGCTGGCCTAATTACCCAGTTAGTCTTCCGTTGGCACTTGGACTCTCGGGCGATGTGGACCGGTTCAGAATCAGGGACGGCTTGCCTCTCCTCCGCTTACTGGTCAACTGGGCCATTCTCATGTTGAGGTCCCAAGTACAAACTAACAAGTGATCAGACAACATCCTCATCATGCTCACTGACCCTTGCCTTGGTCAGCCTCGGTCTATATAAGCCGGTGCTCTTAACGGAAGACCTTCCTGCACTCCGCCTCATCCCCTCATCCCCCCATCTTCTTCAATTCTGTCCAACGAGATAAAGCATCTAATTTCAAAGCTTTTCATTCACTTTCAGGAAATATGTTCACCTGGGCCCGACTCGGTCCACTTTCTGTGGGCTCGTCCCTCTTCTTGGCTTGCTGCGTGGCCGGCTGGCCGTCGATGGCCGAACCCTCATCTCCCAATGAGAAGCTACGGCCACGTCAATACCCTCAAACTATCTTCGAGGCCGCCATGAATAACCAGATTCAGGCTTCTCATCTTCCTGCTGAGGCCCTCGTTTACACGGCCGCCAATGGACAGGCCTACGCGACCCCGCTCGCCGCCCAAAGGATCGGCCTAGATGGTTTGTCTAACCCTTTGTCATCTCTTTTTTCTTTATCTCTACTCATCATCCCTATCTCTCCTCCGTGTCTCTAGGCCCGCTCCTCCTCCAGGATTCTCATCTGATCGATAACCAGGCTCATTTCAACCGCAAAAATATCCCCAATCGCGTCGTCCATGCTCTTGGTGGTAAGAAACAATCATTCCTGGTATTCATTTTTCGATCAAATGGATTCATATCAGCATGCTCTTTTTTTTTTGAAATAAAAGCCGGCGCTCACGGTATATTTACGACGACGACGGACTTTGCCAGTCGATACACGATGATGAGTCTTTTCCAAAGAGGTAATGAATTTCTATTCTATTATTTTTGAAATTTTCAGGGCTCTTTACTCATCATCAATCCTGTCCTCTTTCTCTGTATAAGTCGGTCAAACTACCCCTCTTACTATGCGCTTCTCTACCGCGGCGGGCGAAAAAGGTGACTTCGATACCGTTCGTAACGTTCGCGGATTCGGCGTCAAGTTCGTCTATATTATCTTGTCTATTTTGGAGATGTTTATTTGGATCCTCATTTTGCTTTGTTGTTTCCATCTTCATTATCTTTCTTAGGTTCCGGACTCCAAAAGGAAATTGGGATTTGACAAGTAAGTCGTTCGCACTCTTTTTGTAGCCATCATCCGTATTCTAAAACTGACAAAAAATAAAAAAAAACCCTCATCTGTTCAAGTGAACAATTCCCCGATCTTCTTCAGTAAGGCTTGCCTCTTCATAGTTAATGGATTTCCATCTTGACAATCAAATGATTCTGATCTGTTTCTTTTTTTAATATTTATTTTTTGGTTTTTGATCGATAGTTCGTGATCCGGCTAAGTTTCCTTTACTTATTAAATCCTTAACCACCAATGCTCAAACCGGTCGACAGGACCCGGATGCTACGTTGTAAGTCTTAGCACTCATCCTACCTACCTTCATCAGTTCTGATGATCTTACTTTTGAGAATTGTCTTTTCAGTGATTATCTTAGCTCTAATGCTGAGGCTCTGCCTCAATTCCTCCGTCTTCAATCCGACGCTGAGGACTCCTCAAGGTAGGTTCAGAACATACTCCTTTTATCACCGGTGATCAGACTGTCAAACTAACTTGTCACATTTCATCTGTAGGATGGCTCAAGACCGACGCATTCAGTGGCCACGTCTATAAATGGGTGAAACAAGACGGTAAGCCAAATTTCCAACTACACATTGTACTAGCTAGAGGAAAATCTAACACATCATCTTTTAATTTTTTGCTAATAGGATCATGGGTATACGTCAAAGTTGGTCCTACTACTTGTCATTTTCTTGCCAAATAAACTCATCAACATTTGTTTTATTTTTACCAGATAACATTCAAGACCCGTCAAGGAAACTCCAATTACACTGCTGCTGAGCAGGCCTCACTTGGAAATCCAGGACAAGCATCACAGGTTGGTTCATCACCTCAAATTGCTGTTATCATCATTGTTTATGTCTTCTTTTGTTTTGGTGTACTTGTAGGAACTTTTCGAGAGTATCCAGGCTGGCCAGCAACCCGGATGGACAGTTTACGCTCAAGTCATGACTCCTCAAGATGCTGAGAAATTTCGCTATAACGTTTTGGACCTTACAAGTACGACTACTGAACTTTAAAACTCAATCATTGTCGGCATAATTTTGAGACATACTTGGATTGAATTCTTTTCTTTTTTTCTGTAGAGGAATGGAGAGAGGATCTTGTACCTCTTAATGAGATTGGAAAAGTCGAGTTGACCCAGGTTAGTAACAATCATCCATTCATCATCTGCTCATGGGCTAACCAGATTTATTTTTCCCTTTGTCAGAACCCTACCAACTACTTTGCCGAGGTAAGAAGATCAACTGCCTGCTCAACAAAAACGTTTTGCTTGGCAGTCCATGAGCTGAATTTGTGTCTAATTACTAGGTCGAGCAAGCTGCTTTCACCCCTAGTAACATTATTGATGGATGGGAGCCCAGCGATGACCCTGTTTTACAAATGCGTCTCTTCGCTTACACTGATGCCCAAGTAAGCTTCAAAAGGATTCATCGATCAGTTGTTTGGATTAATTGCCAGATTGTTTGTCTGATCACTTCCTTCGTTTATTCAGCGATACCGACTTGGAGCTAATTATCAACAGATCCCAGTCAACTGTCCTCTCAGCGCCGTTGGTGAGTAATACTGTAGTCATCTTTTTTTCTCACTGGTGAAGGCATCTAACTTGAGGGGGTCTTTCTTGTTTGAAAGCCAATTACCAACGCGATGGGGCTTCATCATACCTGGGTGACCAAGGAAATCGACCGGCCTTTGATGCTAGCTACGCTCATCTAGCAGTAGTCCCACGAGCATACAACACCGATAACCACACGATCTGGAAAAGCGGGGCAATTCATTACCTAAGTCAGGTAAGTCTTGTAGTCTTAGTGCTAACAACTTTGAGGAAATGGTTCCACTTAGCAGATCTTTATCTATTTAATAATCATCCTCCGTCGTTATAGATCACTCCAATTGATTTTGAACAGCCTAGATACTTTTACGAAAACCTGTCGCCCGAGCAGCAGAAAAACTTAGTCAGGTGAGCTGGTCTGAGCTGCTTCAGTGGGATATAACGAAATAAAGACTTACTTCTTCTTTTGAAATTGCCTGATTTTGATCTAGTAATTTTGCTGGTGGTCTGTCTCAGGTGAAGAACCAAAACGTGGTCCAAAGGGTCCTTCAGGTCGTCCAACAAGCCAGTCCTGAACTTGCTCAAAAGATCTACTTCGCCATGTCTGCTACTCGTCAAACTCAATAACCTCCAACTCTGTCTTGCTACACGATGGCAAAAAAATTAAAAATTTCATCCACTCTTCTTTTCTATTGTCTCTCCTCTACATCATTTTACTTCCCTGTTCTTTTACGTATATATGAGTTCCTTGTATCAGAATTCCTAGCTTCAAACTCAACAAGGGAAACAAAAAAAAATGGTTTTAATCTCTTCAAGTGCTACTTGTAAAATAGTTATCCTAAAATCCACATTCTTGATTATCATTCTTTTATACTTTCTGTTGGAATTATTGATCATTAATTGAACATAAAAATTCTCCACACATTCTGCATCTCTTTCTATCACACATCATCCCTGTGGCCAGTGGGGCCACACTTGCAACTCCCATTCAGTGGGCATTTTAACTTAGGATTTACAACTTTCTGGTCTCTGTTTTGTTTGGCTTGTCAAACTATCACCAGAACCACCACTGTACAGGTTCTCCATGAGCTACTCACTTGTCTCAGGAAAAATAGTGCTCAAAGGTTCATGATTCCATTCCAAGTCATGAAACCTTTGTAGAGTCCCCAAACTCAAGACCTTTATCAACAACATTTTAAAAATTTGAGAAGCTGAGCAGTTTTTCAGGGTTTCTGATCAACAATCAGTCCAAACTGTTTTATTTTTTACAAGGACTCTAATTTTTTTTGTGCTTAGGTTTAATCAGTGGCCCACTGGCCCCTTGTGTGGTTTGCCTTTGCATCCAGGTATTTCTTGGATGAAGATCTCTGATTTTCCATTCCTCCAGAACAAGGGCAAGATTCACATATTTTGCTACAGCTTCATTTTGTTGGCACTCTCACCAGGAAAAAAAAATTGGAACCTCTATAGAGGTGGTTTTTGTATATCCCAACTGTATCCCAGTTGTATATGTGCTGTATCCTATACAAGCATACATCATATCTACTTCTGTATCTCAGCTGGGTACTCTTAAGCTCTGGCAGCGGTGGGCCGCTACGCTACGCTACGCTTTTGGCCCAAAAAGCGTAGCGTAGCGGCGCTTTTTTTTCACCAAAAACCGTAGTGTTAGCGGTTTTTTAGCGGTTTTTCGCTACGCTACGCTGCGCTACAGCGCTTTTAGCGGAAAAAACGGCCAAAAACCGCTAAAAACGGCTGTAGCGCAGCGTAGTGGGCCCTTTTTTGCGGCCCACACGCGTAGCGTTAGCGGTGTCGTGGCGGAATTCCGCTACGCTACGCTAATTGCTAACAGCGATTCCGCTGCGTTACGCTACACTAACCGCTACGGTTAGTGTAGCGGCCCACCGTTGGCTCTGGAATCCATCAGATTAATTTTTGAAGATTTCTGAGGCTAAATAATGATGTGTTCAATTTGGAAGCGAATTTAAAGCTGTGATTTTCAGAAAAATCTGAAAATATTGAGTGATTACAGTAGTCTTTTTTATGAAATTTCACATACTAAATCTTTCCCTTTCCTAATAACCTTAACTCAAAGACTTGAAATTACCAGTCCAGAATCATGACTTGATGAAAACAATTAGATCTCATACAATTGTGTAAGATTGAAAATCCAGACATTTGTATGCTAATTTATCTCAAAAACAACTACAAGCCATACCTCCAGAAGATTCACAATCAGTGATCTTTCTTCACTCAAACTGATACACAAAAAATAGAAATATCACATCATTTAGAAGTATCTGTGATAGATAGTTTTGGATTATTTGCAATCTTTTTTGGATCCCCTTTTGAAAAAAAACAGGCACCATCATCTGTTCAAAAACAATTCATTCAAACACTCAATTTCTATCAAAATATTAATCATCTGAAACATGTAATTGGTTTTCTTTCTTGGTCAAAAAATCACATCACTTCTCCTAATCAAGAAAGAAAAAGCCTATTTCCAAATGGTGCTTAGAACTTTTTGAGCTGAGTCAAGATGAATTGCTTCATTTAATTGTGAATTGCTGTGCACCAATTTATGTATGAGTGTTAAATTTCAACACAAACTGATACAACATCAATCAAAATTTATGTAGACCCAGTCAGGCTTTGAAATCAACCATAATGTCTGGAATTCTTAATATGGGATAAAAGACTCTAACACTAGTTTTTTAGATTTTAATTAACACATGGAATAATTCAAAGTAGCGTAGAAAGAAAGCAAAACTTTCTGAGAGCATCTTCAAAGGGCTAAGAAGCAGAAGGGCAGAATCTTTAACTTTGCTTGGTGAAAAAAGATGTGTATGTCTTATGGTTTGTAAATTCATAAGTGATGAGTTTCACTGGTCCTGGAATATCTTCTGATAAAAAAAGATTGCATTTTATAACGGTCAAGGAAGAAAAAAAAGAATCCCTCTCCCACCCCCAACAAATTAGATGGATCGGTCCTAGCAGGAGATGAAGGCCAATATTTCCAATTCATCTTGCCTCAAACCAGATCCTTGATGTCTATCAAATCAGGAAAAAAGGAAATATTCCCCTCATCCCATCGCTTTTGCAATGGCAAGGCAGTTGCGATCAAGCAACGAGAGCAAATGGTTCATTTTGGGTCAAACAGATTAAGACCGGCGGGCTTAATTGCTTGTATACCGGCGATTACAAATTAAATGGTTCCCGTAATTTAGAAATAAGACCGGTGGTCTTAATTTTGAAAACACGCCTCTGATCTCCTCCAGACCAACGCATTTGTATTCGGAAAAGCAAAGGAGGGAAATAAATATTCTCCTTATCTGCTGCTTGGAGAAATAAATATTTATTGCTTCATGCAGTTGATCAGACCAGATCCTCTTGCTAAGCCAAAAAAATGCCTAACCCGTATTGATCTGATGTGTGAATATGAAAGATCAGTTTTAGTTCCTGTTTCCTCTTCCAGATCTCGCCAATAGAGATTTTGTACAGTTTCATTAGTAAGTATAGCAAGAAAATGGAATTTTGACTTCTGTTTCATGACTAAAATTGTCATCCCTCATAAATTTTGAGCTTTTGAAAAGACAAAAACAAAGAAAACCTTAATGAAAAGGTTTTACTCTTAAGAGAGTTTTATCCTAAGCTTTATCTTGTATTGACCAAAGGATAGAGAACACCTATGACAGTAATCAGGGTTTGGATCATATCAAAGTTTTATAATTGATATTGATTTATTTCCCCATCATGCATCCCAATTCACCAGTGATAGCTATCAATACCAATCAGACTGAATTAAATTCACACAATCACTGGTTTTTGAAAAACAAAACAAACCAAGGAGCTAATTATGAGATGGTGTATCAGATCCCAATAAAATAATTACTAGAATGCCTGTGAAATACTCTTAAGCAAACTTGAACTCAGAAATTGTTCAAAAATAATGAATTGGACAAATGATTGCTTAAATCACAGTATGAAAATCAAAACTCCTTGCCCACTTTTTGCAACTGGAAGAGAGTTAAACTCATGAGTTTTTCTGAGATCATAGCACAAGTTTTTGTTCAATTCCTAGAAATATTTCTCCTCAAAATGTAAAAATTTCCAAAGAATCAATCAAAGTGGCCAGGGATTTTAGGCAAAAATCCTGAGTCTTTCAAAGTTGGAAAATTTATATTTACAGTCATACTTCATTATCCAGTGGTGATGAGCAGGAAATGAGAAATATGTATGAGAGGAAAACCTTGAAATATTTGAATTAAAACATATAATTTCTTTCTGGAATGCTGATGACACACTCCATGCCTCAGCCTACTCCTGAGAATAATCTACATTATTAATTTGAAGAAGAAACATAATGAGCCTCAAAGTTCTGGTTTCAGAACAAGGCTTGAAAAAAACCAAGTATGAAAACAAAAAATTTTACAGAGGAAATGCCGGAACAAAATCTAATTTCATTAAATTGGGCTATTGAGTTCAGTATACTTACCTATTGCTGGGGATGGTAGATGATCTTTTTTTCTTCTTTGTTTTAATTAGAATAAAATTGTTACTGATTTGAGTGGGTTAAATTTTTGAGTATTATCAAATATGCTGGACCAACACAACACAGCTTTGTTGTTTTCAAATTCTAGAAGTAGACAAGATGAGCCTTGAGAAAGGATCAAGCACTCATATCATGTGGTAGTTTTCATTTGCCTGTGAATGATAATTTAGATTCAGAAAAAACCTGGCTTATTGTGATTTTTTTTGGAAGGGAGAAGTAATCCATAATAAAATTAAGATAAAAATCATGACAGAATCATATATCTTCATCAATAAAGCCAATAATATGAGGACTGTTTTTATTTTTGAAAAAAATTTACCTTCATGAATTATCATAACTATTTGTGAAAAGTGTAAGTTATTGGTAATACCATTATGTCAAAATTGAACATCATTAAGGGTCTCCCAGATATAACAATTTGAATTCTCTCATCCTCATAAAGATAATTCAAAATCTATAAAATTAAATATGCACATACACCTAGGGGTTTAGATAACTGAGATTGGAACAGCAAGCACAAAGGATAAAAGAGTATGAATCTTCACAAAACAGGAGTCAAATAAGAATAAATTTTTCAATAAAAATGAATTGATTTGTGAAGGAGAATACATATTTATATTCTAACTAGAATTCATACTCAGCAATGTCACAAATAACCTGAATCAAATAATATGTTATGAGGATAGGGATTCAATCCATTTATTTTTGAGATTATTTTGGTTTTTCATTGTGTAATAAATTTTCATGGATGAAGATGTATATTGAGATACGACCTTTTTATCTATTTAGGTTTTCAAGTATTTTACTTATAATTTGAAAAATTATGAATTAAATATTTGGAATTAATTCAATTGCAGAGGAATCATATGTCAAATAAAAATATATAATAATACAAAGATATATCCTAGCAACAGTGGGGATACAGACTAGATACAGTGTGGATACTGTAAGGTTAAGCAAAGGATAAGTGAAAGCACATCTATAGGAGTTCCACATTTTTTTTTCCTGGTGTCTGGAGCTTGAAACTGAGGTGGATGCAAATGATCACAGTGTGAAGCCCTCATCTTTGTGGGGCTCC